CTGCTCTTGAGCAGTCCTTGGCTTGCCCTGCTCTTTATTTTTGCCACTCTCCTTTATCACGATCCTTCTTGTCTTTGTGTCTTACGGACGCCTTTTGACGTCCTTCCGCTCTTTAGAAGTTGTTCACGCTCGGATAATTCGCAAGGTGCCATTCTTTCGTTTAACTTCTAGTCGAATCGTTCGTTCTTACTATTTGAGACGAGTTCTGGTTGATTCCAGCTGATTGTTCGTGGCAAGGACATGAGTAATGCAACTGAGTACTGAACAGAGACCCTAGATTCCTGGTATCAGTCCCATTCCAAGGAATCAACAAGACAAGTATTGATCGGCGAACGTCACCCTTGTTTATCCTAGGGAAGAGAATGTAAGTTGTTACTCTTCCTTCTTTTCTCTCCCCATAACGAGCTTGTTTGGTGGTTTTATTCTGCATCAGCCTTCGCCTTAAGCTGCATCCACGCGAAGGCTGGTGGCGAGTGAAGAGCGCAGCCACTGGACTTGGTATGCAAGGGATCCCCTTGCCATCAGTCTGCCATCTACTTGAGCCCCGATCTTACAGATTGGGCGGCCGAGCGCGCTATAACAATTTGGTGTCCGTTCCAGAGTTTGTCGGAACTATTCCAGATTGCTTTGTCATTGTTGTTGTTATTCCTGTTCTTATACTATGGCTGCCACCCGCGTTGGCACTTGCTTTCCCTATACCCAGTAGTATTGACGGTTCCATCGCAGTGACCTTTCTTCCTTTCGACTTTTCATTCTTTGCTGGTCACTCCTTACTACATTTGATGGCTTGAAGCTTTGACTTATACTTTCGGCGACGCGTGTAGTCGATAAATTCGCTCATTAAACCGTACGCTCGCTACCGCGCGTTTATTCATCTCTCTCTCGCTCATTTGAATTACCTACTATCAATCATGCGACGAAACGTCGCCCTTGTGGCCTGTCTGGCCGCGTTTTCTAGCGTTGCTGACGCCTTTTGGCGTCTTCCTTGTCGTGGACGAAGTGGTGTGGCTCGAATTGACCCCATAATGGCCCCGGGGAAACCATCAGACCACGTCCATGTGGTTCACGGATCAGGAGGTTCGTCCGGCTTCAGTGTGTCTACATAATGATGCCTCCACTAAACCTGGCTTTATAGGTTTTTCTATGTCATCGGGCGAGACAGACCTGAAAAATGCGGATTGTACCTCATGCGGGGTGAAGCAGGACAAGTCGGCTTACTGGGCCCCCGCGCTATACTTCATGCATGAGAATGGCGATGCTGAGCTTGTCAACGAAGTGGGCGGGATGCTTGCGTGAGTGGCGAAGCCAATGTCCAGCGCAGTCATATGCTAACTGACTGTCACAAGTTACTACTTCCTCAACGGACAGAATGTGACGGCATTCCCTGAGAACTTTCGTATGATTGCCGGCGATCCGTTTCTGCGTAACTTCCCTTGGCCAGTCCCCGATCCTCCGAAGTCCGAGTGGTCTGGCAATCAATCATCACAGGACGCTCTTCGCCAGAAAGCCCTGGGTTTCAACTGCTTGAACTATAACAAATCTCCCGAGCCGTCGCTGGGCCGCCACTTCCTGCCAAATAAGACCTTCATGGATGAGCACTGTACTGATGGTGTCCGATTTGAATTGATGTTTCCGTCATGCTGGAACGGCAAGGATGTTGACTCGAAGGATCACAGGTCGCACATGGCCTACCCATCCCTGGTCATGGACGGGGATTGTCCGGATGGCTTCGAGACCCGCCTTGTGTCGCTCTTCTATGAGACTATCTGGGACACATATGCATTTAAAGACAAGCAGGGCACTTTTGTTCTTGCAAACGGCGACCCAACTGGATACGGCTACCATGGAGACTTTATCTACGGCTGGGATTCTGGGGTTCTTCAACAGGCCGTGGATGAATGCACCAATCTGTCTGGTCGGGTGGAAGACTGCAACTTATTCCATCTTCAGACAGATGCCGAGCAGGCGCAGTGCAACTTCACCATGCCAGAAGAACTGAAAAGCGAGAACGTGTACCTTCACAAGGGTGGCTTGCCGAATAACATTGCCATCCAGTATGGGCCTGCGTATGCAAGCCCAGTCCGGTATACCAACACTGGCCATCATACTTCGGCAATATTGCCCGAGCCAAGCATTGCTATTGGTGCTTCTCTCGATGGTGCTACTGTTGATCTTGGAAATATCCACATTGGCGTAACACTGGGCGCCCCGTCTACTACTTCTAGTTCAACTACTCTCTCGACCTCAATTCTCCCATCCTCGACACAGTCTTCTACCTCGACCACTTCAGCAGCTTCAGCGGCTTCAGCCTACTTTCTCCAAACAACCACTTCAACTACACCAACCACCACCTGGACACCTACCCCTACCACCGCTTATGTCGAAGGCGTTGTCACTCAGAAGATCGTGTACGTTGAGCAGGAGATTCTTATCCTCACGGATGAAAAAGGGGCGCCTGTCACAACAGAGACAGGTGGATTGGAGACAGTCTCCACTTCTACATCCACGGTGAACAAGGTTGTATCAACAGTCGTGACTACGCCCACCGAGCCTCCTGCCAAACGTGATGACCATAGCCATAGCCATTCCCGGCATGTCCATCGGCGTCATCGTCACGGGCATGCCCATCGAAGATGATCCATCTTACATTCTAAAAACGACTGGCGCGTACGATGACAATGCCTATGGCATAAGCCCCAAGCAGAAATCGGCCCTTTGGTCCGGTCTAATTGGGCTAGGAAATCTCGAGCTGGCTCCCTTGACTTCGTTTCTCTGGATGCAATTTCATTGTTTCGGTTCTCCATGTATGAACGTCTATAACATGTACATATTATTGTTTGTTCCCCCTTGTCTGGAACAGGTGAAGATCGGGCTACTATCGCTGTTCTCTTGATGAGAGCTGAGATATGTCTTGTCAGATATGGTGTCAAATATTATGTGGATGAATATTGTTCTGTCTATTGCAGTATGCTGGTTCTATTCTGGGTTAGGGATAGAGCTCGAATCAGCGACATTGCACTGATCGTTCAGTGGTAATCGAGTGGGGTAGATAATTTGGTCACTGGCTCTGTCAGTGAATTTGCTCGAGCCTACTAACTTAACATTCAGTATTTCTGACCTTTATCTATCTCTGTCCCCTTTAACCACCTATCCCATTACCAATTACACCTTTCTCTCTCCGATCCAACAATACTCCATCTCCTTTGCACAAAGCCTACCTCACATACATCAAATCCCTACACCGATACAGCTTCAGGCATCACCGACATGCCCCTCAGAATCACATCCAGCCACAAGGCCATCTTCGAGCCATCATCCGACGCAGCACTCGACTCCTCCGACCTGTCCGAGCTATCCGAAGACGACCATATCGAACCTGACGACTCTGACGACGAAACCCTCTTCGACCATACCGGCTACGAGATCGGCCCCGCAATAGCAACCAGACAGCTAAGCATACACCATTACAACGTGAAGGAATGGGATACTCGAGACGCGTACCGAGAACTGTACAAACATTGGTAAGTCAGTACTACTACTTCTTCTTCCAGCCCTACTTACCTGACCTCCCCTCCCCCCTCCAGGAAACAAACAATCATCAAATCCTTCGCCGTAGAAGATACGTTCCACCATGAGCACTCAGAAACCAACAACCATATCACAGTCAAGGCCCTAATCCCAACCTGGCCCGGATACATGGGGTTTATCCGGTACAGCAAAATAACAGGGACAACCACATTTATTAATGCCGATGCCTACCTTCTACAATCCACACATACCCCAGAAGACGACAACGACGACAACGCCCTCTTCCACTTCCAAAACGACCGACTCAAAGCCATAGCGTACATCCTACTCATCTCAGGATTCAACATCCAAATCACCTTCCGAGACCATATCTGGACATTCAACCTACCACCTACTCCTGATTCCTCTCCCCCGAAAAAAACCATTCCATGGATCTCATGTACCGTGAACACCCTAACCCACACCTCCATTCCCAACAACACTCTCACCATAACCATCACCACCATCACCACCATCACCACCATCACCACCATCACCACCCCCCAATCCCCTTCCCCCATCCCCCTCCTACAACCACACACCTTCCGCACCTGGCTCCGCACATCCCTGCACCTCACCCACCCATCCCAAAACAAAAATACACTCCCCACCCCCCACGGCACCATCCTCCTAGACCCCACGCACTCCGGAACCCTCTACCTCAACGGAATCCTCCTGCCGGGGTGCAACTTCCCCAGGGCACAATACAAGTACGGATATAACTTCCACTACGGGATAGCCACTACGAGCGGACGACGACTAGCCAGCCCGTTACATGAGATTGATCTTATTTGTTGTATTTGGGATGCGACGATTCGCGAGAAGCCAGTGTATGCGGTGCCGAGGTTTGTGGATATGGTTTTGCGGGGTGGGGATGGGGATGGGGATGGGAGGTCGTGGGTGGTTGATGTTAGGGGGGTGGAGGATGGTGCTGCTGGGATGGGTGATGAGGCGGTTGAGGCGGTTTGGTGGGCGATTGTGGTTAGGGGGTATGGTTGTCATTGTGAGGGGGAGGAGGTGAGTTCGTTCTTCTGAATATGTTTGGGGTATAGGTTGCTGATGGTATGGGTCAGGCTGGTGAGGTTGGAACGATGCTGGGGAAGAAGTCGGTTAAGGTTCCGTTGGGTTTGTGGGGGGCGTTTCGGAGGTTGGGGTTCGTAGGGAGGGTTTCGGAGGAGAAGGGGGGTGAGGGGTGGAGGTGAATGTTAGGTGGGATGTAGTGGGTTGGATACCTTTGGAGGGATTGATTGATTGATGTCTGTGATGGGTTGTATGAGGTCGTTCTGGGGAAGTGTGAGAAGCGAATAAAGAGTGTGAGTAGGTTGTTGTTGTATTGATTCAGTCAATTAAGTATTATTCAATCCATTACAGCAATATGTACATCCCCCTATGGCTAGGTGGTAACCCCCGGTTCAAGCAACTCAACGGCTAATTTACTGGCAAGTTCCAGTGCTGGCGTTCTCCTCTTGCTATAACACGCATTAATCCCGTTAGCTCTATACAGGTGCCGTTGAAGAAAAGAATGGGAAGGATACTCACAACGCAGAGTCCACTTTGACAGTTGCCCATGCTTCCGTCCTTGTTGCAGGTTGCGCCGGAGGGAAGCTTTAGGTATTTTTATCAGCACTCATGATTATATAATGTATGGTATAAAGCTGAACCTCAAAACACGAGACGTGAGGGGACATACAGTAGCAGTGTTGCTCGCGGAGTTCGCGGCGGGAGAGGCAAGAGCAAGGCCGAGGAAGGCGAGAGTAGCGAAGATGGAGAACTTCATTGTGGAGGATTTGATTTGTGCTTTGGTTTGTTTAGAGAATGATTGGTATGAGTAGAGTAGCTGGGATGGGTGGAATCGATGTGTGATGGATGGGACAGAGGTAGGCTGGTAGGGGCATTTATATGCTTCTGTGATGTGCGTTCACGTGAAGCGGATAAGAGTTATAATCATATCCTGGTCCAGACCAAACCACAATATTCGGAGTAGGTAGAAGGAGGGTGACAAGATTGTTACGCGCGTGCTGGGGGTGGGGAAGAAAGGGTAATGGTTCTGGAACTATTGAGGGTGATCTGCGGAGGATCAAGTGGAGATCATCAGTCAGGGGTGGCTTTCTGTCAGAAGTTAGAATTGTGACCAATGATGTTCGACGGTTATGCCTTGAGCATGGAGTGGGCGATAAGAGTCTTCTTATTGAGAGAGGAAGCATCACGGTGTGTGGTGTGGAAGTATGTACTTGAACCTCATAGGCAGCAGTTGAGGGTTCACGGGAGCCGTCTGGTACCTGTTATAATGGGTAACTTCTGTCCAATTCGATGCTGCGACTTACTAAGTTCCTATTCAAGGATACACTTACTCAGTACCCAGAAAGAGTGAGCCACTTGATGTCTTCCAGCACGATGTTCCCTCGCATCTGGCAATGATCTCCCTTGGCATACATAATCTCTCACGTTGGCTCCACACCCGCTATCCCTAGCGGTCGGATGGGTCAATAGGCCCATATCCATGGTCAAATAATTATCCGGGTCATTATTTGGTGTGTAAACTCAATCATATGCTTCTCGGCTAGGGATAACAGTATGACGAGGCGGAGAAGTGTTTGATCGATCGCTCCTGTGATTGCGTGGCTGGAATATTCCATGGATGGCCGCTAATATAGTGCATGTATCCGCCTTGCTCCGATAGGCATAAACACTAATAAAAGTCATAGACTGCTGCATCAAGCTTGTGCAACAGATCCTAGGCGAAAGGGTTGTCTGTCGAGCTGCGTGGCAAGACGGCTTCTAGTTGCAGTCTCATTATGCTGGGCTCTTCCTTTTGATGCAGCGTCCGCTTCTCGGAAGTCCAGTATGCTCGGCACGCCTCGGCAGATGTACTACTGTGCCCTTGCTTTCCATGTCTAACTCCAAGAGTGAGGCGGATGTCAGGGAGTTATGATCGACAATCATTGTCACTTCCAGTTCGTCATATTGCAGGCTCGAGCTGTCACTTCCTGGTCGCTCCTGGCCTAGGATCCCTGTGATTCTGTAAGCTTCCGTTTCTCGAGAACAAATATGTGTAGTAGATAGCATTACCCTTGCTGTTCCTGCATGTAAAGCTGTTCAAAATGCCACCTGTTTTGTAAAGTTTGCACAACTGTAGTCATTAGCCGCCGTTCACAAAGAGAGCAGATAGATTTCGAACCGGACTGGTCCTGGTAAATGAGATTACATTACACGTCAACATTCGGACTACTTGATGCCATTGCATATAGCTATTAGAATAGCCATTAATTGCTATATAGGCTGTTGGCGTTAGATAGTGTGAAACTTTGATTATTAGCCTCTCGGACGTTTTCTGAATCACTAGCCAAAGAGTGACTGCATGTAACAATTACCAAGGCTTCCGCTTCTTTCGATCTGCAATGAGCCTGTCGCAGACAATGCAAGGTAAATCTCATCAAACACCATTACTGGTCAGAAATATAAGGTTGGCTGGGTATAATGCCAGGATGCTTGATGGTATTCGGTTGCTTGGCCGCGCCTGTCATACTATCATCGCGACTATTCGTATCAGCATGCGGCAACTGGAAATGGAGCGCTCATAGAACAAAGAGGTACTCACTTAAAAAGATATATCCAGCTATCATTACATTTCTACTACTAGTCGTGGTGTGGTAATGAAGCGTTCAGAAAGAAGTCCAGGTCGTGAAATGATGTGCTACGTTGAAGCCAGAGCGGGCATGTCGGGTACCTGCCTTTCCGAACGCCGATGCTGGAGGGCTGCACCTTCCGCTTCCTCTAGCGATAACAGCAACATCCATCCATTTCACCACCACTACTTTTCCATCCATCCCAACTGGCATCATGTCCTCGGCTACGGATCGCTCCACCCAACCACCCTTTGGGAGTATACGTCGAAGGACGAAAAAAGCGTGCGAAACCTGCAAGCTGCGTAAGCGCAAATGCAACGGCCATGAGCCATGCTCATTCTGCCTCAAATACGAATATGACTGCTCGTACGAGACACAGCCACGGAAGAAGCCGTCAAATTCAAGCATTGCAAGACCCCCGAACAAATCACGCGAAAGGCCTTCCTCTCCGGCACTCGTGGCAAGGCCTGATGTCAATCAACAGCAGATGGAGGCGAACTCAGGCACAGCGTTCCCTCACTTCCTGGGCAAGAGCTTGAACCCGCAGAACCCTCCAAAAGTGCACGGCTTCAGCTGGAACCTAGGTCTTCGATATGAGCCAATACAACAATTTGCTAATATCACGAGCCTAGTCTCGAAAGATGAAATGAGTGTTCTAGTTGGCCACTATCTCGAACGGATACACCCCGTGTATGCTGTTCTCAATCTTGAGATATTAGAGAAGAAGGTCGCCCTGCGCTGGGATGATTCGATCACCTTTGACAGCTATGATCCGGTTCTTTACGGTGTTGCAGCCTTGGGCTCACTCTACTCAGGCGATAAAGGACACAGAAACGAAGAAGCGCTGGTCCACTGTGCAAAGGAAATCCTGGAAGCACCTTGCACTATGAACAAACCACTTATACACCATGCTACTGCATGGGTCTTACGGACCCTCTACCTCCGAAGCACCAGCGGTCCTCATACCTCATGGATGGCCAGCTGCTCTGCAATGCACATCATCGAAGCAGCAGGGGCGCATCAGGATCCAGGAATGGTCTCCCTGGTATATTCCGATACGGCAGACGTTGGTATCGATAAAGAGAGTCAGCGAAGGCTATTCTGGGTTGCGACAGTTTTAAATACGTGGATCTCCTATGAATATGGCAGATCTCGCGTCATCTTACGAGGCATTTCGTGCAAGCCACCTGTGCCGCGAGCGGGAGATTTGACCGCGGAACTGGTCTCTTTATTTCAGATTTCCGAACAGCTGGATCCCGATCAGAAAAATAGAATTTCAGACCTTGAAGACGTTTTATATCACGTCGGATGTCTAACCCTTGTCCACGATGCCTTAGTCTTGTCCCAAGCTAATCTAGCATTTACGATATACCGCCGTCTCCGGGTGGCTGCTTCCAGCATTTCTAACGATGTCATAAACTGCATCATCCGGCTAGGTAGTGAAGGGACTGCTGCTGCAGTTCGTATGTCTGAGAAGCGTTCTCCCTGGTGGCATGTTGCCAACGTTCCTTTCCAGTTTCTCTGCATTTTGCTCGCAATCGATTCTAAAGAGTCATTGTCACACGTGAGCCACGCCATGCGCTCATTCAAGACCGTCGGGGTTCACTTTAGTACGCCTACAGTTCATGTCGCCATAGAGACCGTTGATTCCTTGATCAAGTTATCACAGAGGAAGAAAGAGCGGGAAATCACTCTCCTGAAGGATAGCACCCAGGATCAGGATTTAGGACTATTTGAACGAAACATGTCATCCACGGAAGAGTACCGTTCACCATGGCAAGGGGGCTTTATTGATGAAAATATTGCAGAAAATATTGACTGGGATTGGAATGCTTTTTTCGATGCCGAAATATCACTTTTTGACGACAGGGGACATGGTGGGCAGATCCGGTATTGATGACGGTTATCGTGGCCGTGGCGCCCAGGATATAATCACCATATTTCCGCTTTCATAGTAGATTTATTACTATATTTATTACTATCAGGGCATTACTATCATGCATTGTTCTGGTAACCGCATGCAAACAATCTGCTTCAGATGGAGTCTATCGCTACTTTGCAAAGCGGAAGTGGAAAAGGCGGGTGGTGCGGAAGAGCGGACAAAGCGGATACTGCTGTACACATGGTATATCTGCAGGAAGAGCAACTCTGGTTGTTCATTTCAACATGCATGCTCAGTATTTACCTTTCAATTCCTCTTGCTTTCAACATGCAGTCCCTTCTTCAGTATCGACGTCTGCGCAGACATCTACACGAAAGCATCAAGATCCATGGCCCTGCTGCCGCTGGAGATCCTGGTTCACAACCGTCTGGAGACATCCTTGAAGACTTCCAAGATGCTCAGTTCGACAGGCAACTTATAAATACTGCCCCTAATTCCGTCTCGCCGCAAGGAATGCCCGGGGTGGTGCTGCATAACGGGCGAAGAGTGACTGTGCCAGGCGTTAGCGTCCATGCTGCAACCGATGTTGAACATATCAATGGGAAGGCTATCTTCATAGTGGGCTTCGATGGTCCAGACGACCCATTCAATCCGAAGAACTGGCCGGTGAGACAGAAGTGGACGACATTGGGTATAGTTGGCACAACGGGTTTTCTTGTGGGGTGGGCATCTTCCATCGACTCTGGAGTCATCAAACAGGGAGAAGAGGCGTTCAGGGTCAGTGAAGTGACTGAATCTCTTGCCACTGCGCTTTATCTGATCGCATTCGGATTTGGATCCCTTGTGGCGGCGCCTTTCTCGGAAACTGTGGGACGCAACCCCGTCTACCTAGTAACCTTGTCACTTCTTATGGTCTTTATCATGGCCTCTGGTCTATCTCCAAATCTAGGCGCCCAGTTGGCATTCCGGTTCACTGCTGGACTGTTCGGATGCACACCGCTGACTACATTCGGCGGGAGTATGTCCGACATCTTCGACCTTTTAGATCGTACCTATGCCTTTCCGGTGTGCTGTGCGTTGTCTTTCTTGGGGCCTTTTCTCGCCCCGATGGTCGGCGCGTTCATTGGCCAAAGCCCAGATATCTCGTGGCGCTGGTCAGAGTGGACGTCTCTGATACTCGCTGGGCTTATCACGGCATCCATCTTCTTTCTTGTGCCCGAGACCTACGGGCCAGTACTTCTGCAATGGAAGGCTCGCCAACTACGCGCAATCACCGGCGACCCTCGTTTCATGGCCGAGATCGAATTGCGCCAAACTACCCTACCCATCCGGTTAATACATAGCTGCTCTCGCCCCTTCAAGCTATTCTTCCAGGAAATTATGGTGGCTCTTTTTACGATGTACTTAGTGGTCGTATACATCGTGCTTTTCGGCTTCCTGACGGGTTACGAGTTCATCTACGGTCGCACATATGGGTTTTCGCAAGGATCAGTGGGACTGACTTATATCGGAATGAACGTGGGGTTTTTGATTGCACTCGCCATTGTTCCGCATGTCTATCTGTCTTATAAGAAACGGCTCCAAGCAGCCATCGCCAGCGGCCAACCCAGTCTACCACCCGAAGAGCGACTCTGGTTTGCCATGTATGGCGCACCGTGGCTACCAATATCTCTTTTCTGGATGGGATGGACCAGTTATCCGTCCGTCTCGTACTGGTCACCTCTAATCGCATCTGTGGCGTTTGGGTTTTCCGTGCAGGGCATTTTCATAAGCAGCTATCAGTATTTGATCGATACGTATGAGATATTTGCTGCTAGTGCTTTAGTGAGCGCGACATTCATGCGATATATTGCCGCGGGAGCTATGGTCATTGTGTCTATTCCAATGTACACTAACCTGGGTGTTCATTGGTCGCTTACACTGCTGGGGTGTATCTCCCTCCTGATGACGCCGGTCCCGTATGTCTTCTATAGATTCGGACATGCTATTCGGCGAAGGAGCAAGACTGCTGCAGCGTAACATACTTCCAACCATCGCTCCATGCAATGAGCCTTATAGCTCCAGCATCATTGAGCAAGCTTGGGCATTCTCGACACCTACAGAGCATTAGGAAGGATATCAGATAGTTATGGGAAATCTAATCGATAGTTAGGTAGTTAAAAGCTATTAATTTTTTTCTTTTGTTTGTTAGGTTGTTTTATCTAAGGGCATGCCACGCTTATCAACTGTATATGCTGTCACTATTAGTAGTGCAATAGAAATTCGCAGTACGAAGGTCGACGACCGATCGCGAAAAAAAAAGAGCCGACCGACGGCCAATAAGTAGGCGGAGTACCCCGAGGGCTGGGAATTGGGTTTGGTTGTGCAGGGTCAAAAATAATAGTAGCACAGTGGTCTTTTTCTATCATTTCAGCGCCATTCAATTTACGAGTGCTATCAAATTGTCCATTTCTTCAGGTTGAAGGGTGGCGGAATTAGGCTCTTGTCATTGCTTGTGTTGAGCTTAGCTCGTTTTGCTTTTTCCTCAACGCGCAAGCAGTTACTTTCTAAATAGTGTTTGAAGATCCCGCTGTCACCTGTTTCAAGTATGGTCTCCTTATAGTTATTCTAGTTCTACTACATATCATTGGGTCTGATATCGCTCCCCACAAGACTCGAGGCAAAAGCGGTACAAGAATTTCTGGAAGAGAAACCGTTTTCTGACGGGGACGAAAGTGGGACGCACTACTCTCTATTCCAGAAGGAGTAGCGATTAGCCTTCCCACCATGGCGTCGTTTTCGGCTGACACTTGCAAGACTCGCCTATCACTTGTGCATAAGATAACGATATCTCTGGTGTACCCTTTGTGACACCTGGTTTAGAGTTCAGCGGTGAACCTGTCAATGCAGCCAGCAACAGGAAAAGCTCAAGATGGACAGCACTGGGCTTGATAGCCAGCCGTGCTCGAGCAACTCTGGCATGCGCTGGATCTTCGGATTCGTCGGATAAGGACCAAGGAGCCAGCCTGTGCAGCCGCTAACTCCTCCCCGGAAGGAGGAATCGTGATCCCTCATTCTGTGACAGCCACTAGCCATCAAGTCTGTTGTGCTATAGCCTATCGCGGCCGCATATCCAATCGCCGGTTCACCAAGTGGAGCGAACCATCCCCCAACCCGGCCTGGTTCTGCTTATCAAGCACCAAGATAACCCTCCCCGGCTTGCTTATATCGGGGTGGCCGCCAGTTCAGCATCCATCTCGCGAATGATTCATGCAACTCCTCCCACGACCATTCCGGCAGCCGACCAAGTATCACACTGAGGATTGTCTTGGGTGGACTGCTATCGTCCAACCACCGTAATCATGGTTTACTCAACGCTGTCTCCTCCACTGGACCTGTCGCATCATTTCTCCTCGGTTACGAAGAGACGGGAGGCGAGCGAAACCAAGAGCCTGTATAAGTATTTTTTCATCCCAGGCATTGCCAACTTGGCCGGTGGTACGTTTACTCATCTGCTTCTTGATCTTCTGGCTTTTGCTTTGGCGATTCACGGCGGTTTGCACTTGTGCCACTTTGTTAACCTCTTGCGACATCAGGCCTGCCAAATGCGTCATACTTCCCCTATGATACCCTCGAAGCTACCGTTGCCCATCCTCGGCGTTTTCCCGCAACCTCCGACAAGGACCAGGTCAAGCCCCCCAGTGGCTCCCCTTCAACCGAGCGCAGAATTGTCCCGAAAGAAAGCCCGACCACCAACCTCCTAAAGAAAATTGATCTTACCACAGCCCTACAGTATGGGACTGCTGAAGGCCTCCCCGTGATGGCCGATTTCGTCCGCCAGTTTACCCGCAACCACCTTCATCCGAATGTCCCCTATGCCGGCGGCCCTAACACCCTCCTCACGTGCGGTGCGACCGACGGATTCTCCAAGGCCATTGAAACCTTCACCAACCCTTGGGATCCTCGTCGGGATTGGATCAGTCAACGCGAGGGTATACTCTGCGAGGAATTCGTTTATATGAATGCAATCCAAACTGTGAAGCCGCGGGGCCTCAACATCGTTCCGGTAGCCATAGACGCGCAAGGCATGCTTGCGCATGGTAAGGGAGGGTTGGCCGACGTGCTCGAGAACTGGGATTTTAGAAAGGGCCGTCTTCCGCACCTGATGTACACAATCACGTAAGTGTCAACGACCTGTAGCAGAACTTCCTCTCAAGTTGGCTAAAACTCGCCTTGTCTAACTGCAGTATCGGCCAAAACCCGACGGGCGGGACCTTGTCGGTCGAGCGCAGGCGGGAGATCTATGCTCTCTGTCGGCAATTTGACATCATCATCATAGAAGACGATCCGTACTGGAACTTGCAGTATCCGTCCGCAACTGCTATGGAGGCCGGATTCCGAGGATCAGATGCCGTAGATGTAATCCCACGCAATTACAACGCCCACGGCAGGTCCTCCGGGTACGATTTCTTGGATTCCTTGGTGCCATCGTATCTCTCCGTTGATACAGACGGGCGCGTTGTGCGTCTCGACACCTTCTCAAAGACCATAGCTCCTGGTTGTCGTTTAGGATGGATTACCGCCCAACCGGCTGTAATCGAACGACTGACTCGTCTCACCGAGACATCAACTCAGCAGCCGTCGGGATTCGTACAGGCCATGGTGGCTGAACTAATTGTGGGCCAGCAATCCGAGGATGGCCAGAATGCCGCAGGCGCAAGTAAGAATAAGTCTAGAAAGAGCGAACAAGCCTGGCAGATGGACGGCTGGGTTCGCTGGCTGGAAGGTCTCCGTGCGGGATACGAACAGCGCATGCAGACAATGTGCACTATCCTCGAAGAGGGCAAGTATCTCATCGACTCCGATAGCGCATGGGACGATGCACCACAACCTATGGCGGACGATGAGAATGCTTGGGAAGTCCTGGATAAGATGCAGATGTATGAGTTTTCCTGGCCCACTGGTGGTATGTTTGTGTGGGTCAAGGTCTGCATTGAGACGCACCCCTTGCTGGAGAAGTATGGCTCGGAGCGGCT